CATGTTATCAAGGCTGAACCCCGAAGACCTGCTGGACATGGGTGATGTACTGAATAATTTCCTGAATACTGCTTCTCATATAGGAAAAAAAAATAAAACAAAACAGTAGTTCCTTATCTCACACCAAAATGTTAATTTTAGACATTAAACATCAAAGGAGAAATATTAGGATTCATAGAGGAAAATACAAGAGAGCATGAAGTTTGATCAGGGTGTTCTAGTTGTAAAAATAAATAATAAATCATTCCCTGAAAAAAAAAAAAAAAAAAGAAAGACATTTATAAACTTCATAGTAAATTTTAAAATACCAGGAAAGTCACTGTAAACATACCAGGAAGGGACGCCACTGACAGGGAAAATATTGTCAGTAACAACTAGCAAAGATTTCATGTCTAGAACGTCAAAGAACACAGACATCCACTCACATTGCTGGGAGAGACCTAACCATCCGCACAATGCAAACAGAGAGGAAGGAACATTCGTTGGAGTCTCTGTGTTTCTTGGCTGTAACAAACAAATGTCTTAAATGTTCAATTAAGAAAATGGCTGAAGCAGCTGGGATTCATTGATATATCAGAACAGTATACATGGAAAATAAAAGTATCTGTCTGATCTGTCTGGCTTACCTATATAGAGATAATATTTCAAAATTTAATGGTGAGTAAAAAAGTGGATGCTGGTTGACCCTGGCTATGTTATTATGAGAATTATACTTGTGTTCCCCAAGTATTTGAGCCATCTTTCAACTGTAAGGTCTATTATAACACACATCCAAAGTGTAGCATGTGGAAATTCAAGCTTAGGAGGACACAGGGCTAAACTGTCATGATCGTCTTTTACAGGTTTCCATTTAAAGATGTTTGTGCACTTTTGGTTTGATGGCATATTTCTGCTGTAGAGTTAAATAGTAATATATTTTCATCACTGAACTGCTGCATGGCTACCAAAAAAAGAAAAAAAAAAAGATTTAGGAAGATATACACCAGAGTGCTCGTATGTTAATGTGTTAAAATACTATTAAATGTATTTTTTATTTCTTTCATTTATATATGGTAAAGATCTATAGACATGCATGGACATGATGAACTATGAATTTAGACATTGAACATGCAGAAGAGGTCTGCTCAAGAACTGTCAATATGGCTACTTGGTTTGTTTTGAGGCAGTTTTACTATGTGGCCTAGAGCCCACAACTCCAGGCTGGCTTCACATTCACAACAGCCCTCTGCCTTTGCCTCTCAAGTGCTGGGATTACAGATGTCAGCCATTATACCACAATTCCCAGAAAACATCAGTAGCAAATGTGAAAAATGATAAAGATCCACAATGGGAACGTGTGATTTTAGTTTCTATATTCTTCATGTGCATTTAAAGTGCTTTATAAGTATTAACATACTAAAAAGGAAAAGAGAGTTAAGTGACCAGCATCCTTTCATTTACCCTTTTGTCCCAGATACCGGAGTCACACAGACCCCTGCTCCAGAGGTTCACTCTGTAGTAGTTGGTAGACTGTCCCTTGAAAGTTTCTTCTATTGTACTTGACAGACCACCCCTTGAAGGCTTACTCTGTTGTAGTTGATAGAACATCCCTTGAAGGTTCATCCTGCAGTAGTTGGGACAGTATCCCTGGAGGCTCACTCTTGGTAGTTGGTACAGCATTCCTGGAGGCTCCCTCTGCAGTGGTTTATACATTATCCCTAGAGGCTCACCGTAGTAGCTGGTATAGCATCCCTAGAGACTCACTCTGCAGTAGTTGGTAGAATATTGGGTTGTGAACGGGCAAGTGTTTTGGAATGGGCTCTTTCTGCAACTTTTTATTTCTTTGGGGTAAATGCCTTCTGTACTGTAAATGACATTTTTTTGTGCCTTGATAAGTTGGGGTTATGAGCTATTATAAATGAAACATAAATGTATTATCAGAGTCACTTCATTGACCCTTTTCAGACTTTTAACTACAATTTCCCGAGTCAGGTAACCCAGAAGCAGAAAGACACATATGGTATATACTCACTTATAAGTGGATATTAGCTATGTAATATAAGATAAACATACTAAAATCTGTAGTCCTAAGCAAGCTAAACAATAAGGAGGACCCTAGGGAAGAGGTTTAATCCTCACTCAGAAAGGTAAACAGGATAGACATCTGAAGTAGGAGAAGAAAAGGAACAGGACAGGAACCTTCCACAGAGGGCCTCTGAAAGACTCTACCCACCAGGGTATTGAAGGAGATACAGACTCATAGCCAAACTTTGGACACAGTTCAGAGAATCTTATGTAAGAAAATGGAGATAGAAAGATCTAAAGGGGACAGGAACTTCACAAGGAGACCAACAGAGCTAAAACAAACAAACAAACAAACAAACAAAAAACAAAAAAAACCCTGAGCCCAGGGAGGCCTGCAGAGACCATACTTCAACTAAGGACCATGCATGGAGAAGACCTAGACACCCTGCTCAGAGGAAACCCGTAGGTGACACAGTATCCAAGTGGGTTCCCTAGTAAGTCAGGCAGAGGATGTCTCTGACATGAACTCAGTGGCTATCTCTTTGATCACCTCCCCCTGAGGGAGGTGCAGCCTTTCCAGGCCACCAAGGAAGACAATGTAGCTAGTCCTGATGAGACCTGATAAGCTAGGGTTTAGATAGAAGGGGAGGAGGTCTTCCCCTCTTAGGGCATAGGGGGAGAAGAGGGAGGGTGGGTGTGTCTAGGAGGAGACAACAGAGGGAGCTGCAATGGGGATACAAAGTGAATAAATTGTAATAAATAAATTAATTAATTTAAAAAAACCCTACAATTTCTGTTTCTGACTTAGATGCATGTTTCTCTTTAAATATTCAGAATATTACGGCACAAGTGACATTTTCCTTTATGCCATGAGACAAATGACCTGAGACAGGTCACTGAACTGTCAAGGGAATTCTGACCCATTTAGCTTCTGATGATGGGTCTGAGTTACTAAAGATACTATAAAGATATCTGAATCTTTATAAGATATATTTTTGTTCAATATTGTTTTATAGCTTTTGGTGCTCAATTTGTAAAGACATGAACTAGGGCTCATTTGAAAGTTGGGTATTTGGTTAACTGGACTCTTTCTCCATCCAGTCTGACTGGTACTCCCTGGAGTCATTTGTGGAACCCCAGAAGCCTCTGGTTGTGTGTCTGCCAGTTTCACACAGAGATTCCTAGACAGTGTCTCTTCCTTGGGTCGGGTGCCTATAAAAATGGTCTTCCTTCAGTGCTAAGCCCCTGAGCCCCAGATTCAGGGGTAATGTTCGTGGTACGTGTCCTTTCTTATAACTAGAGATCTATCCGGGGACAGGCTGGAGCTCAGAATGTTCTTTGCAAAATGAGCAAGTCTTTGTTTGAAAGATTAACTCCATCCCCATTGCTCCAACTGGCAGAATTGCCTGAGCTGATACACGCCTGCAGTGAGCTCTCCCGCAGGTCCCTGTGGCTGAACAGCTGTAGAGAGGCTCAGGCTCATTCCCCATTGTGGGTCTGTTGACAGCTTTTACCCGTGGAACAGTCTGAGGAGTGGAGAGCCCTGTTTCTGAGACAGAGAAGTGTTTTCACACCTGAAGTGCAATCTCACACCTTGTGTTTCTCAGCAGATAAGTGCATAAAATAACACATCAAACCGGAATAGAAAAAAAAAAAAAAAAGATCAACATACAAAGAAAACCGTGGGTTGTAATTTGCTTCCTACCTTACAAGGCTGTGAGAGGAAATTATAGAGATCTGGGTTTACGCTTTTGAAAAGTTTGACTGGTGGTTAGGTGGGGAAGTGAGCGGCAAATGCTCAGCTTTCTGCCTGCTCTGAACTGAGAGTGCAGAATGATGCAACTCAGGCAAAGGCCTTAACATGTTTTTGGTTGCTTTTTTTTTTTTCTTCGTGAATAGTAGCATGCATCTAAGTCAGAGGCAAAACTTGTAGTTAAAAATCCAAAAAATGATCAATGAAGTGATTTGCATAATGTGTATTTGTGAGCATAATTTTATTTTTAGTGATTTCATTCAGGAATTTTAGCCAAAGTAGATGGTGTTAGTGAAATTTAGATGCTTTCTTTTCCTTTTTGCAACTGAAAATAGGACATTAGTCACAACTTCATAGTAGTCTAGTATAGGGGTCTTAAAATGGGAGGTTTTGCTTGAGTTCCTTGTTTGAAAACAGGAGATTGAAAGAAAAAAAAAGTCTAACTTTGTATCTAGTAATGAATATTCATTATAAAATATTTGTTGAACGTCTAGTTCCTAGTAAGGTACTAAACAAGGCATGGGGGTTCTGTACCAAGCAAGGCAGCCCCTCTCTTTTCGTCTGTGGGACTGGCAGTTTGCAGACAAGGAACCAGGCAATGACAGTGAGTACCGTGGTAGGGTCCAACTAGATGCTGGTTGAGATGGAGTCAGCAAGGATTCGGGATAAAGTGTTGTGCAGATCGAACTTCGTAGGTAGAAGTTAGTGGAAGGTGGATGGCCTCCGGGATATCTGGGCATTGGAAGAGTATGCAGGTATGTGGGGGCGAAGCTTGCTCGCTGGAGTTCCAGCATGACATGGTCCAGAGAATGCGTGGAGAGCAAGAAGAGAAAATACACCTCAGCCCAGACATAAAACAATAATTTGGCTGTGGAAGAAGACCCCACACACGGAGAAAAGAATGCATATTCACTTTGCTACATTAATCAAGACTCTGTCTGAATGCCCACAACTCCCATTGCATCTATGCCCATGCACTTCCATGCATGCGATGTACAAATCGAGATTCTAATGCACCCCATACGTTTGGCAGACTGTGAATTATATGAAACAATAGACATGGAAGGCAATAGTTCTTTTCCATAACAGCGTTTGCAAGATGTGGTGGTCCAGCAGCGAAGACCAGACCTGAAGAATACTATTGCAAGGAGAAATTTGAAGTCCGTGTCAAGATCACAACTAAGCCAGTGCCTCGCAAAGTACTGATGTGTTCTTATCCTTCTCTTGTTTGTTTTTGCTGTAGATACATATGGAAAGCTCTTCCTCCTCAACTGTGTGGGCCAGGAGATGTCCCGCTGCAAGACGTCCGTTCGACGTGGCCAGCCCAATCCTGTCTATAAAGAGACCTTTGTCTTCCAAGTGGCCCTCTTCCAGCTCTCTGATGTCACCTTGATGGTTTCCATCTATAGCAGGCGCACAATGAAGCGTAAAGAGATGGTTGGCTGGATTGCCCTGGGCCAGAACAGCAGTGGGGAGGAGGAGAAGGAGCACTGGGAGGAAATGAAGGAAAGCAAAGGCCAGCAGATCTGCAGGTGGCACACCTTGCTGGAATCCTAGGTCTACCAAACAGGCATCTGAGTGCTATGTCAGCCCTGGGTATCTGACACCAAGTCAGAGCACTGGGAGTTGGGGGGAGGGGGGGGCTTTTAAATGGAGAATTTGACTAATCTTAGGTCGTTCCGTGGTCTCGGACAGTATCGAAGGTTTGGTTTGAGCTTAAGTGTTGTAATGAAAGGAAAGCCACACACCCCCAGCCAAGTGCACAGCACGGGAAATGGGACTCTAGTGGAGAGCACTGGCGATGCGGTAATTTGGGCCGATGGACAATTGTGTTTTTGTTCACACGGTTGATGCAGCTTCTCCTCTCTTTGGCTCGGAGAATAGCCTGATATTTCAAAGGAGCTGTAAACATTTCTGTTTTCCATCACTGAGGTGTGGGAATCAGACTCTGCTCAGTGAAATGAATCAGATGCCGAGGTAGGCTGTAAGCAATCCACAATCTTCTGCCACACCTACTTCTTTTATGAAAAAAAAAAAAAGCCCCATTTATTTAAAAGGTAATTGTTGTAAATCTGTGGTGTAAAATAAATTTGTATTCAGGAGACGTCTCTTTTATCTCAATTAGATATCACGGTTTCTACGAGAATTGGGTTAGACAAATTACCTTGACGCTGTAAAAGAGTTAGAAACTGACTGTTAGCTGACTATCTCTTTTTGAATATTTAAGATTTCAAAAATCAAAGTGTTTTTTTTTTTGGGGGGGGGGGCTTTCTTACCAAATCAGTACCTAAGGAACAAGAAGATAATTTAAGTTTTGGCTTTCTCGATATTTCCAAACCTGCCATTTATTTGGATTATGCCTTTTCTATGGCTAATTATATGAACTCACACGTGTATTTTTGTATGTACTTCGGAATGCCAGCCACATTCATCTTTATGCTGTGTACCTTGCCAGTGGGGCCTAGGAAGATGCAGACAGTGTTTCTTCATACAGACTGATTTGATTGATGTGTGGGAATGAACACGTGAACTCCTCTGAGTGAAAAAAAAATACTGTCATTTGGTATGGAATTACACTGAAGTCTTGGAGCATTTATACCCAGCACTGTGTGCAACAATATGTATTAGTGAGTCCTTGTCTTCGGGGCGTGTGATGTTTATTCCCAAATGCTGACCTTGTATGGTTCCGGGCGCGGGGTTTTACTTCTGAGTGGCTCTTACATGTTTATGCAGTGTGCTTGTGTGTCCCTTCTTCCTAGATCTGAGCTCTTAATTTTGATGACTCCCACCAGGAAGTGACAAAGAAGAAGGAATGCGAGCATAACCCCGTGCTCAGTGTTGCGGGTCCTCTGAGCGCGTGCCAAACACTTACTTTTAGATCTTTATGTTTTCTTGTTGACTTCTGTCCTGTCTTCTGGGAGAGCGATAGCTAGTGACAGATACATACATACAGTCAAAGCCACAGAACTTCCCCCACAGCTCTACATTTTGACAGATTGTAAGCGTGGGCTGCAACACTTGGGAGCAGATTTATCCCTTAAACTTTGTAATGGTTATCCTGACAAGACCAGACAAGGTAACAAGATAACTCTACTATGATCACAGGGATCAGATTTGTTTTTTTTTTTTTTTAAGAAACAATTTTATACAGAAAGGGTAAGAATTTGCAGAATGAATGGGGTTCTTGATTTCTCTTCGGGTCCTTTGGGTTTTCCCTGCCTTCCTCGGGAAGACCTCAAAGTGCTTTCTCACCACCGTGTCCATTAGCCGCCGTGCGGTCTTTTGCAGTGTGACTGTGTCATGGGGGTAGAACTGAGTGCAATTGATGAGAGCGGCGAAGAATTGCCTTTTCACATCCCTCCCTCTCTGTACGCCTTGTGTTTCAAGGGAAGCAGGGCAGCCTCGTTAGGCTTCCCTTTAGGCCGCTGGCATAATAGCAGCATTCATTTTAAAAATTTACATTTGAAAAAAAATCTGTATATATTGTACAGACAGCCCTTGGTTTTCCTCACCCGTGTTTGCCTGCTCTACATGCTGCCTGTATCCACGGCCTTGTGGTACCCAGGAACCACCTATGCTTTCTGTCCTCCCTCCAGTTTTAGGGGTGTCTGCTGGCATAGGGAGCTGAAAATAACAGTCACAACAATGTGCATCCCTTCAAGGGGAAAGATGTCTGAAAAGCATCCCTCCCTTTTTTAATTTTTTTTTTGTTGTTGTTGTTGCTGCTGCTACTCACCGTATAACACACGTGCGTGCATGCTGATTATACACAGCATCCCCCCTCGGCGGATGGTACAAACATCAGATTCTAAAGACAAGATGCATTGAAATGTGAGGCTGAACATTTTTTTTTTCACCCTCGGTTTGAAATTCTGCTTTAGGAAGATCTTTGGATTTTGTGCACTTAGACTCTCTTATTTTCTTGGCAAAGTCTAGACCCAAATGCATTTAACATGTTTTTTTTTTTTTTTCACTTGAGCGTTTACAGCTACATTTGCTTCTCAAAAGAGTTATGAAAGATAATTAGTTGGCTCCGTGGCGGGAAGGCTGCTTCTGCCTGTTTTAGGCAGCTGATGATTAATATCTTGTGCGGAGTTTGATACGGAAGCAATGCTGAGTTTTGTGGCGTGATGTATCTTTCCTGAAGAGTGTGCTTGTAAACTATCATCATTGAGAGTACGAGATGCACTGGGCTTGTGGAAATGTGTTTCATCATGGGCCTTCTTTCAGGCCTGAATTGAGAAGGGGTAGTTTCACCAGTGGTGCTGCTGGTGGCCGTTGTAGGATGCCCGGGAATGTTCCATTCTCAACATTCCACCAGCACGAGGCCCCAGAAATGATACATACCGTGTCTGTGTAGGGCATGACATTGCGTCCATGGTTCAACTTCTTAGGCCATGGCATGCTTTGATGGCAATTCAGGCATTGATGCAAATAATTGACATTCTCCACAGTGCGAAGTGCCAGAAGCCCACCTAATTCACGGCGTTAGTCAAACAGTTATTGCCTCTTGTTTATTGTGGTTTATATTGTGGCTGTACTAGAAGGCATTATCTGTGAATCTAAATTCTTTTCAAGTAAAGCAATATTTAAGTTTCATAGGAAATTCGTTGATCTCTTAATTTTCCATGTGGACACCGAGCTTTGTATCCTCCCAAACCCAGCAGTCCTTTCCATGCAGAGGACTTAGTATATAAAGGTGTGGAAAGAGTCATTTGTAAGTGACATGAAACTGCATGGAAACAATTTGGGGACAGGATCTCTCTGCAGCCCCCTGGACTATACAGTGTAGCCCAGGCTTTCCTTAAACTTGTGATTCTCCTGCTTCAGGTTCCAAAGTGTTGTGATTACAGCAGCTGTAAACTACGATGCCTGGCTTGGAGGCATATTTTTTGCTGAGAAGTGAATAGACTAGAAAGCACACATAGCACTTCTTCCCCCTTAATCTTTATTGGAACTGTGATGAAAGGCAATTCCCTTCTGAATTCCGAGTCAGGTGCAAATGATAGATGATCTTGAAATGACAAAAGAACTTTTATTTTTGGAAAAAAAAAACCAAATAATTTATTTAGATACAACTATAAAAAAGACAGTGTGTAAGAACTAAGGAAATCTGTATACTGGCATGTGTGGCACACACCGGGTATATATTCAAGAAGAATTAATAAATAGACTGAGAAAGGCATTTACAATTAACCAGAATTTAACAATCCGTGGGATTCTGGATGATATTTAAAGGTGTGGAACAAAGCAGACACAAAGCAGTGAAGTGGACACAGGCTGTGTGGTCATAGTCAGGTTCAGCTGGAACTCTGCTATGTGGCCTTAGGAAAATGACTTACCCATGCCACAGTGTCCCTAAATGGAAAGCAGAATCTATGTGAACCTCCTAAGAGAGATCAGCGAAGTCAGATTTGTAATGTGACCAAAATAGAAGCTGGCACAAAGCTAATAGTATTTCCTCCTTCTACTCATGCTTGAGAAAGAAGTATTTCAGGTTCACTACTTTTTCTAAGAATGTGGTTATAACACGAGGCAGGAATTCTAAACAAAATTCTAAAAAAAATCAGGAACTTTAAAAAAAAAAAAAAAAAAAAAAAAAAAACCTTCACAAACCTGGCCTAGATTTGCCCAGAAAGTAGATCTTGTCAGGAGATGAGTATGATTAAGTGAATAAATTATATCATAAATAGATATCAAGTAGCCAAATCCCTGCCTTTTATTCTCTGCTTTGGAGGTAATGCAAAACCTGAGTAATTTATGTTTACATCTTGATCAGCTGTACACAGGCCCTTTGTCAACCCACTTTGCTGTTCATTCAGAGACAGGGCCACTTACTGATACCCTTCAAAAAACTTGTGGAGTTAGGCTATGTATTTGAACTTGATCTAAAAAAAAAAACAAGCAGTGTAATACTGCAGTGATATCCTTTGAAAATAGATGTAACCATAAAACTCACATTATATCTTTATGGTGAGGAACTTTATGGGACCACATAGGATTCATTGTTCAACTGGAAGTTCTATTCAGAATCAGTTACTCGTTGGCATTCCCATTAGATCACAATGAAAGAAATCCCATAATCCCACAGAACCTTCTTTCAGTCTGGTTGCTGCAATCAGAAGTATGTCTAGTTGCTTTCAGTTGATTCAAGCTACAAGTGATGAAGATACCCTAAGAGTTGGGAGAAGCCTTTGTTGGACTTTAATCCACAGAAGTCAGGAATACATGACTCAAGTACCTCAAGTGTTACTGGGTACCATGCCCAATCATCTTCTGCATGGTGGTAGTGGTTGGTTGGAGATAGGATCTCCTGTGACTTTGAACCCACTATAGAGTTGAGGATGACCTTGAACTTCTGATCCACCTGCTTCCATCTCCTCAGGGCTGGGATTATAGGTGTGCGCCATCATACCCATTTTCTGAGGTGCTTTGGTCAGGGCTTTATGGATTCCAGGAAACACACTAACAGCTGAGCTCCATCCCCAGGCCCTGGTTGTGTTTTAAACTATGAGTGGCTCTGGGAAGGGATGCTGAGAGGCTGTTCTTTCACCCATGACCAAGGTGTCAACCTGCTACATTGAATCCCAGGCTTTCCAATTCAGGGACAACATAGAGACAACTGGGAAAGAGTCATTTAGCTCCGTGCTTTCCAATGGGGATAACAAGTAGGGATGGTACAGCTGTTGGATGGGAGGTAAGAAGACGAGGAAGTGACTTATGGTCACAGTGACCCAGAAGGTAGAACCCTATATCTTCATGGGTGAGGAACTTTCTGCTGGGAAAACATAAGATTCATTGTCCAACTGAATTGTTCTATTCAGTTACTTGTCTTTCCCATCAGATGAAATGAAGAGAACCATAGTGGAGAGGACACTATAGTCTGATCTTTGCACATGCATGGGGTCAGAGGACCCACAAGCCCATATGATGTGTCTTTTAACTTAAGACATCAGCAGAAGTACAGGGAGGTTGTTTCTCATTTGTGTCAATGTATTTGTTGAATTTCCTCTTGTGCAGCGCTGGGTCATTTGGTATGGCCCAGAGTTAGACACGACATCTTTCTGGTGTCATTGGCTAACACGAAAATCACAGTACTTCCCAATATACAAGCATTAAGTTATTTTTAATTATTTGTAGTATAAAGTAGACTTTGTAATTGTGGG